ATTTTGAGACTTTTCCGGAAAGTACCTGATAACCAAAATATTATGACTTTTCTGAAAATTACCATGGAATTAATGGATATTATTATTAACAAATCATTTATAAACATAACAAATATTTTTATTATAAAAAAAAGAAATACACTTGTTTCTAATTTCTAGGAATAAGTTAGTGGTCTAAGTACTCTATTGTTTATCGACCACACCAAACTCTCTACGTTCCTTCTATGCATCGTTGTGTGTATGATGGTGGGATGTACTCAATGAGTGTTCCTCTAATGTTAGTGTTCTTCTTATGTTGTCTAACATACATCTATCAAATGTGAAAAAGTGAATCATAAATGATAGTTTATATGGAAACAAATGTAGGGTAATTATCTATTTAAATTGTCATTCAAACTTTATTTTTCACTATGTGTGTAATTTGGTGGTTGTTACCGAATAATGTATGGAAGTTAGGTGGTATTTAGGTTAAAAAAACATAATGAAAGATCTATATGTTCAAGAATCATTATGTAATGATATTTTCTAATAACATGTGATCATATAATACCACACCTAATAGAAAGTAGACACTTATTGATTGTGTATTAATAAATAGTATCAACTCTTGTATTTAATTGAAGAAATGTACTTAGTAAATCTCACTATGAAACCCACAACGATACAAATGAGGAACATAAAGAATTTGAAGTGGTCAACAAACAATAAACCTAGTCGACCATTCTATTCCTAGAAATTAAAAACAAATGTATTTACTTGTTTATAATAAAAAATATTTGTTATGTTTATAAATGATTTGTTAATAATAATATTCATTAATTCCATAGTAGTTTTCAGAAAAGTCCTCATATTTTAGTTATTGGGTAATTTTCAAAAAAGTCTTAATATTTTGAGCAAACTAACGAAAAAGGACACAAAATGTCAGCTAAATCTATGAAACCGGCCAAAAAGGTTTTTTTTTTAAGTTTTAGCCGGTATTTTGTGTTTTTCTTTAAACAAAATTTAGTTTTGGATTTTTTCATAAATTGGATTAAATTTAGGATTTTTCTGGAGATTTCCCCAAATGAATATATAAATAATTATACGACTAATATTTGTTTTGGTCAGAAATCAATCAAATGAGAATCAACCAAGTTGTATGAGAGGTTGTGGTGTTGTAACGATTATAAGAATCAAATTGAGATCAAAATGGAAATTGTGGTTTACAATAAAAGTCTTTGATCCTTGATAGGATCTTCGGCATAAAGCTTTGGGAGGTGATAATGATCAGCAATGTTGATTGTTTTTATTAATTTGAATGAAAAAAATTTATAGAGATGATGATAGAAATACGAGTACAAGTGTTGTAGTAGTTCTAGTTGTGTGTAGCGTGTAGAGTACATGTGTATTTATAGTCTAATTCAAGTAACTAAAAGTTCGATATTTTCGAGATCCCCTTGAATAAGTATGAACATGTTGGTTTGACTTGGTATTTTCGGGTCTTAAACCTGATTGAAACGTTTCTTCGAATGAGTATGATGTTGACTATTTCTGCACATGTGAGAAAAAGAGTAGAAATATACCAGTTAATTTTATTAGGAAATAATAATAACAAAAGTTAGGATCCTGAGATATGTTTTATGATCCCGAAGTTTCTTTAAGATCCAAGATCCTAAGTAGGATTGAGGATCTTACCCCTAACAATTTCTCTCAAATTATACCTGTAAAATATTTAAGTTAATTTCAAATATTTAAAGGTATAATTTTATTGAAAATACAGATAAGTTTTTTGAAATTCAAAAATCTAACAGATAATTTTATCTGTTTTATGCTCATGACGGCACGGAAAAATCACTTCTCTCTCATATGTTACCAAGATAAGTAAAGGTAAATAGTGGAGCATTTTTCTTTACTTCCTCTTGCTTCTTTTGATCATCACCGACTATTCTTGAAGGTATCTCTCTTACTCTTTCTCTTTTATTTTTTCATCTTTCGATCATGCACTACTAGAAAAATAGCCTTTTACGACGCGCAAATTATGACACTCATTAATATATGTTACGCAAACGAGAGTGACATTAAAAAAGTGTCATCTCTTCAAAAATTTAAGGATTTAGGTCACGCATTATTGCGTGCCTTTAAATTAGTGTCAAAAGAAAAAAAATTAAAAACACGGAGGGCGTTGTACCTTAAATGTGCGCCCTCTATATGTGTCGCTTTATAATTTTAATGAACGCGCGTTCCTTAGTTACAAGCGGGAAAAGAAAAGCAAAAAAATTAGAAAAGCCCGCTACCCTCCCTGCCCTAAGCATTTTCACGCATCTTTCATTCTCCTCAAACTGTTGTGCAACTTCTCAATCAAAGATCGAAGGTTACGATTTCATCTCCATCTCACGACTTCATCATCTCAATCAAGAAAAAAGGCTTCTGATTTCCATTCATCTACTTCATCGTTGCTGTAATTTCACCTTCTTCATCTCTCTGCTATTATTGAGAATACTCGCCAATAGTTTTCTTATTCCCCACCGATGTTGAAATTTTCAGAAAAAGCCCTAATTAAGTAGTATACTCTCAAGTCTCAATATTAGAATCCAAATATTGATTCTCGTTTGTTTCTTATTCCCCACAGATAAATCGATAAAGGGGAATTAGAATGACGAAGGTAGCGGGAGTTTTGGTCCGGTGGTCGTGGTTCATCTATCGAGAAAGGAAGATGGGAACGCAAGCAGCCATGGTGGCTCGATGATGGAAATCAATCGAGAAAGGGGAAGCACCTCTGGTGCGGGATCGATTTGACAAAAGGAGAAGGGAAAAGCAGCGACGCTTCTCTTGTCTGCCACAGCTTGGGGGGGGGGGGGGAGGTGCTCCGGCGGTCTCCTTGGTTGTTCTTCCTTGTCGCCAGCAGATTACATGTAAGGAGGGGACTCCTTCTCCACCAGGTTTTCTCTTATATCTATCCTCCACCAGGTCTTCACTCAGAAAAAGGAGATCGATCTCCCTACTTCGATTAGAAAACCCAAAAAAGTAGAAAACCCCACCTTGGAGATTTAGGGTTCATTCCCACCCAAAATTCTTTCGCACACCCAAAATTCTCAAACATCAAGATCTTTTTCGTCATCTCCCCTTTCATTCATTTTCCCACTAACTTTCTCCTGCGAAAACACACCAAAGTAGAGGTTTCGGTGGCAAATAAGGATAAAACGGCGCATGAGAGAACTAAAAGGACTCTTATTGGTTGGAAAGACTAGCTGGAAAACACACAAGACTCTATAACCACTCCAGGGTTTAGAAACAGAGAGCAAGTTCTTGTAACTTGCTCACGTCTTACAGGTTACATGTTTTCTGATTTGTTCCCTTTATGCCACTAATTGTATCTAACCCTTTTTATTGTCCAGGGTCAAAACAAAGATTTTTTTTTATTTGTTCCCTTCGCATCAATTACAGGAATTTGATTATCCCCTCTCTTTGAACTGACGAACTCAACCTGGACCACCACTGCTCAGCCACCCCTGCATCCACCGCTACAAGATGAAGACTTGGACCTGAACCTGAACCCGTTAGCATAAATCCTTCGTTTTGGAGATGGGCTAATTCATGTCTTCTATCTGCGTATTTTTTACTTGGTGATGATAAATTCGTACCCATCAATCTTCCTTCGTGGTCACCATCTGCAATGAACTGTTGAAACAAACATACTTGCTGAAATATATTTGCTAAAATCTCATGCTGAAATCTGAAGTTGGGATATGATTTGAATTTTTTTTAAATCTATTTGCTTGAAATCTTTGTTCTATGTTAAATGTAAGTACTTGCTGAAATATACTTGCTGAAATATGTTTGCTAAAATCTCATCAAGCTCTCTCATGCCTAAAATGCCCCTGGTGGGAGAGATGGGAAAATATACATTGCAGAGTTCAATGCTCAAGTCACATCCAACAGCAACAACAACAACAACTATGGTTTGCATATCATTGGCACATCCAAACACTACTTCAAAGTTCAAAGTAGGAAGTAGTTGGTATTCATTATATCTTTTGGAGAAAATATAAAAGGGGTGTTTGGATTTTCTTTTCTTAAGTAATTATTCTGATTTCAAGAATAATAATTAGATAATAATTTGAGAAATTTAGGGATAATATGATACTTTTCCATTTATCCCGCAATAAATCTGATTTTGGCATCAAAGATTCTGTCGTGATGACTTCTTATACTGGAATTGTTCTGAAAATATCATAACATCTTTTAGATGCTATTATTGAGAAGAGAGTATCTCTTTCTGAATGCAACAATACTATAACATCCTAAATTTAAGACTATATAATTAAATTAATAAGATAAAAGGGAAAATGGTAGAGAAAAGTCATTAAATTTGCTGGGAAAATTACCCTAAGTCAAGGGGAATAAGGGCATTTTCGGAATTTTACCAAAACTAGGTGGGGTTTTTTCACATGATGTTAATTTGCAGCTGCCAACGTCTCCCCAGAAAAGCTACAATCCGGTAGACCATCACCATCCATTTGAACTTTGAAGAAGATGACAATGCAATGTCAGTTTATGTTAATTATTTTCTCTTACTATTTATTTTTGAATTTATGACACTTTGGCATGCGTTGAATCTGATCTGGTATTCTGATGGTTATATATATATATATATATATATATATATATATATATATATATATATATATATATATATATATATATATATATAGGGCTAATGAAGAAAGAACTTAACATTTTACAAATTTGCCCTCACTTATTTTTTCCTTCTCAGCATTGCCCTTTTTTCAACTGCTTCATTGCCCTTTTTTCAACTGCTTTAGGTTTTAGTAGCATAACTTATTAAAACGGTACAAGAGTGTGTGTCTTTATCTCCCTTCTCTTTAAAACATGCACTGTGGTTGGCTCTAACTTAAAATACAAGTGAACTCAGACCCCCATCCAACCAAGAAAACTGTAGAACCTAAAACAACTTTCTATGCTCAAGTATTTAATTTCACATCTCACTGGAAACATCCTACATGAACTTAACCTTTCTTCTTCTTGCTGGTGATGGAACCACAATAGTAGTTCTTCTTGCTGGTGAGTTCTTGAAGGAGGCAAAACCATTCATTGAAGACGGGGTCCACCCTCAAAATCTGATAAAGTGCTTCATACATAACTCATTACTCGTAAGGTCTGTTTCTTTTCACTTTTCTGGACCGAATAAACCGCTTGAATGAAAATAAATGACCATTTTACGCTTACATTCCATCACACAGTTTTAACAACATTCATCAATTTGTTAATATAATTAAGTTTCTTTCTTTTTGTATAGCATGACAAGGCCCTTATTACTGGTTACTGCATCTGTTGACAAAATGGTTCTCAATAAAACAATTAGTGTTGATGGTGATCTAAAAATGGGTGGTTCTGTTGTATGGGTTGGGCGATCTTCCATTGAAGTTCAACTTGGAGTCACTCAGATATCAATCGGTATGATAATATGATTGATATCTTTAAACTAGTGTTTAATTTCAATAATTTTTTATTTTTATTTAACTGAAAAGTGAAAACTATATATTGGTTTTGTAGATAGCACTGTAATTACAGAAATAGTAGCTTTATTTTGTAACATTTTCCATTGTATTGTTTGTATCTTGATTCTACTTTTCATGTTTTCAGAACAAAATGCCTACATGAAGCTTTAACAAGAAGTTACATTAATTTAACATGCCAGATGAATTGAAGTGGCCTAGTACGGAGAGAAACCAACGACTCCCAAGGGGTGCACCCATGAGAACACCACATGTCGCCGAGCAACCTCGGTCATGAAGCACAGCAGCAGCTCCACATCCACTAAGGTTGATATTAAGTCTAAACCAGCCAAAATAAAGGAGCCTAATCCGGCTGGTAACCATGGATCCAAGGGTTCCTCTTCTAAGGTCCCTTCAGAAGGTGAAAACTCGGTTTCTAAGGACAAGATGAGTGAGGATCCAGAAAATGAGAAACCAAAATTATTGATCAGGCTTACTAGAGAAGAGATTGAAGAAGATTATCTTGTAATGACTGGAAAAAAGCTTCCAAGAAACAAGATGAGGAGGGACTATCTAGTGGTCTGAGCAGGTGCATTTTAATAAGATTTGGTGCAGAAAATTAGTTATTTAACCGCAACACGAAAGCAGACTGACTAAGTTTTGGACTTTTGGTATGATAAGCATCAACAACAATTTTTTAATCCTTTTAAACGGCAAAAAGAAAACAGATTTATTCCTTTTTATATAAATTTTTAATACTAATAAGAGTTTGTTATACTTGTTATTTTTCATACATTGAGCTGTAGGATTGGTTGTAAATAACTAGATCTCAGGAGACTTGAACTTGTGATCATTTTTATAAAAAAGTTGGTATTATGAAGATATAAAGTTAAAAATTTGTATTGATTGATGAAATAGGTTAGAGTCTGCTGTTCTTGACTTAGGTGCAGATGATAGTGGTGGATTACAAAAGCAAAAATCCTCGTTTCATTCATTGGGATAAGGTTTGACTTTTTTTTTTAATTATGTATATATATTATTATTCCACTTTTTTTACTTATATTTAATTTATATATATATATATATATATATATATATATATATATATATATATATATATGATAGTGGAGTAAAAAGTATGTCAAGTTGAACAACGGTGACTGTGTGTCAGATGATGGGAAGGTATTTTCAAATATAATTTTATTTTTTATTTTTTACTAATTTTTGGTTCTAAAAATATGTTTGCACTATTTAATTTACTTGTGTGTATATACAAAGTTGAAAATCATGTTCGAATGTTAGAATGAAATAGTTGAAAATTATGTATGCATACAGTTGAAAATCATGTTAGAATGTTAGAATGTTAGAATGTTAGAATGAAATAGTTTTGGTCTAAATAAAATGATGTCAATGTTTTCTGGTTATTTATTTTGAAATTATGAATTAATGGGTCAATTTGGTCACCAACTGTTAAAGTCACCCATTTTCAACCAAAAAACAATTATATACAAGGGAAGTTAGGTCACAAAATGTTAAAGTCACTAATGTTTAACCAACAAAGTTAAAAATATACATTTTACACCATTTTAGCTTGTTTGTTTTAGATAATTCATGATTCATTATGTGTTTAGTTTATGATTAATTGATTATCAATTATTCAATCTCAACATAACGTTTATTTGCAGCTTGGAGTTAGAATATCACTACCTAGTTTAATTGCTGCAAAATAAAGTGCACATGTCATTCTTACTGGTGACTCAAACAAGCTAGAGGCATAAACAAGGCTTGTATAATGTACATTACTTGTAATCAATATGAATTTGTTTCTTACAAGTTTATAATAATCAATTTTCAGGTTTTGGACAACATGAGAAGAGTATGTGAGCTCAATAATGTCTAGCGATGATAGTGATTCCTCCACCACTTAGAGTAGGTTGTTATTTGAGTACATAGAACAGAATCAGCCTTGGGGCAGAGAACCTTTGACTGATAAGGTTAGCTTTTCTCCTGCTTGAACTGGCATAACAGGAAGAGCTCGAAATTGCAAATGGCCAATGTGTATAAAAAAAAACATACAATCTTAAACTTATGACCTGACCAGATGCTAACGGGAACATATTTTGGAACATTCTAGGAATTGTGGGGGTGGCCCCACGTATCTGATCTATTAAATCCAACAAAATCAAAGCTCTAGAAAAAGTTGACAACTTTAAAAACTTCTCTATCGCCATCATAAAGATAATAAGCAACATTCACCACTGAACTAGATTAAAAAAATTCGGATAGTTTTAAGTCTTGCATTCACCAAGAAATGGAAAAGATTTTATTTTTATGCAGAATTTTTATAAAAACTACCGAAACAAGGAATTCCCAATTGAAGACGAACAAAACCCATCATACCCTTTTGCACTGATTTTCCCTTGTATGTCACCATGCTTCTTTATACAGGTATGGTTCGTATTGAATTGTTGCAATGACAATTGGAAAAAGGTATTTTACTATTTCACTCTTTCATATTAATTTTTGTAATCAACATGTGTATTAAATTTTAATATTTTATACAGGTATGGGTTGTATTCAACCCTGGATTATTGGAAAAAGGTATTTTACTATATTTGTATTAAATTTTAATATTTTATAACATAGATTGATGTTGCTTGAAGGCATTCTGAATACTAATGTGTTATGATGAAAACAGGTATCACGTGGACAAAAAAGCATAACAATAAGTAGAAACAAGAAGGTGTTCCTTAACAGCAATGTAGTATTAGGTTATATAGTTAGGGAAAACCTCTTAATAACAATATACAATCGGATTCCCTTATTACCAATGTATTACAATTTTTTGACATGATGCAATGGATTCTATTTTTTGTATATGATATTTTATTTTCAATTATAAAACATTATATAAAAATTTAAGTTGAAAATAAGTAAATCTATAAATAATATTTTTTTTAAATATTTAAAATTATGATACGCAAAAATGTGTGTCATCTTCATTTATGACATGGCCTTTCTTGACAAGGGCTTTCTTGATACGCAATGTGTGTCATTAACATGCGCGTCGTAAGGTTACGACATGCGAATGCGTGTCGTCTTCCTTTATGACAGGGCCTTCCTTGATACGCATTGCGTGTCGTGAACGCGTGTCGTAATTGCGCGTCGTAAATGAGCGTCGTAAATGCGCGTCGTGTATAGACGACGTGCAAAAGTGCGTCGTCTCTCTTTATGACATGACCTTCCTTGACACGCATTTGCGCGTCGTCTGAGCCTTTTACGACGCGCAATGAGCATCGTAAAAGGCTGTTTTTCTAGTAGTGATGGGAAAGAAGATTACTCGTTCTCATGCTAGTATCACCGACTTTGTCAATCAGAAGATCATGTCTTATGATGAAACTTGCTCTTTTGGCGATGATGATACCCATTCATTGAAATCGGTTGGTGCTTTTCTTGCCGATGCCATTTTCAAACCTTTTGATGTCAAGTCTCAACCAAACTTTATCTCTTCTTCTTGGGTCTGTTTTCATGAATATTCAATTTATATGGGTTTGAAATACCCTTTCTCTAACATTATCTTTGAGTTTTTCAAAATCACTAAGATCTCATACATCCAACCCATGCCAGTAATTTGGATGATCCTATTTTGGATCGATCAGTTGAACAAATCCAATGACCTAGGCATAGGTTTAAATGAGTTGGCTTATTTTTATGATCTTTCGATTTTTAGGAACTCCTATTTTCTGCTCAAGGTCAAACCCAATAAATCTCCTCTTGTTCTGAAATCAAAACATAATGACGAAGCTTGGACAGAGAAGTATTTTTGCATGAGGCGTGACTCTATTCTTGGTGGGGATCTCCTCCCAAAAACCTAGTTCAAAAGGGTAGGATTTACTTATTATTTTTATGGATCCTAAAATTCACTTTCATATTTTGTTTATTTTGATGTAGGCTTCAAGTTTGAGGATCTCATCCATTCCGCTAAAGATACTGAAGAGAAGATTGAGAAGTTCCTTACAGTGCCCGAGGCTAAAAGATACTTTTGATTCGAACAACCCAACTTTCAAGAGAGTTCTTCTACTACTGCCCCCATGTCGACAGGTAAAAGATCATCCGTTTTCATTATTTCCTATGAAGGATCCTGATCTTATTGAATTCTTTTGCTATGTTTAGGATCTAAATCCACATGCTCTGGTGCTCGATTTACCCTTCCTGATATCGACTCTGCTATGTCCAGTGGCGAACCGGTGGTTAAGAAAGAGAAAATCTCATTTTCTCTTCCTCCTAAGAGAGCCTCCATTGATTTGACTATTAAGAATCTAGGATCCCGGAAGAGGAAATCAATTGAGATGTTTCACCTGGATAATCTTGGAGCGGATGAGGTGCTGAAGAAGTTGATCTCATTCTTACAATCTATAATTATCATTGTAATATTTTATGTTTGTGTTCAGTTTTCTTACCATTTCCTTTTACAGTTTACTGACCATGTTTCTCGTGCCGCTAAGAATCTCAATGTTAAGCTTGATCGTGTAGAACATGCTTTGAAGGAGCAATAAGGGATCAACAAATAGCTTCTACATAGGGTGGATAGGTTTATCAAGGACAAAGAAGAGGACCATGCGGTGGAGGTTAAGGTGGTGATTGTTGAGGTCAAGAGTAGTGTTGTTAAGGCCATTTGGGAGGCAAAGAAGCTCATAGAAGATGTGGAAAATGCATGATCCTTGAATGTGGTTGGTTGGCATGAAGCCCTAGCTAAATTAACTGGTACACCTATTAATACAATTCAGGATCCTGTAAGGCAACCAAAGGAGGGAGGAGAGGCAGAAAAGGCTCTTAGTGATGGCAATCAAACCGTAGTATAAGTTTGATTTGAAACATAATTTAAATGTTTTAGGCTATAAGATAATATATTCCTTTTTTGTGGGGTTGATGGGCAACCCTTTTTTATTTTAATGTTATGGTTGTGCTTTGGTTAAAATTTACACAAGCACTAATCAACCAAATTGAATTAGAGGTTGTGATGTTCAGATTGTGTAACAGTAAATGGTAAAAGAAAGTGACACAATGGTTTACAAGGAAAGCCCTTGATCCTTGCTAGGATCACCGACATAAAACCTTGGGAGGTGTTAACGACCACCAGCCTTGATGATTTTAATTACATAAAATGAAGATTACAATGAATTCTTAGTAAGAATAAGTAAAGAATTTTATAGAGTAAGCTTAGACTAAAAATAGTGTGTTGTGTGCATATTACAAGTGTCAATTTATAGTCTAAAGTAGCTAACAAGATGTCTAATATTTTCAGGATCCTCTATGACCAGCTTCATGAACGTTATTTGACCTAGTATTCTAGGTCTTCAACATTGTTGAGACGATTCTTCGTTGATATTTGGTCTTCCCTTGACTACTTCTGCACACGTGTTAATTATAGACAAGATATGACCGTTATAAATATTAATAAAAATAATAACGGTAATAAGTCGGGATCCTGAGGTAGCTGAGGATCATGGATATTTGAGGATCCTGAATATTGTAAGGATATTGGTCCTAACAATTTCCCCCACGTTATTCATGAAAATAAAGGT